CTGTAGTACTAAGAAAACAGTTAAATTTTAAAAGCGCGGTTATAAGATCTAACAGATCTTCTTGTTGCAGGTTTTTTTGCAACAAAATGGCTTAATGTTGGTGTCCGCGTCCGCCTAACAGAGCTCGAGGTGTCCGCTAAATGCAGGTTTTTCACAGTACAAGTGGGAAGACAATTTAGGGACTCAAGCTGGTGTCCACTTAATATAAGGTCCGCTTAATACAGGTTTCACTGTAAAACGTAAATCCTCGATGTACCGCCTTGGACGTTTATTTCAAATTTAGGAGAAGACGGGGGGCCGCTTATTCGAGGGGGACGCTTATTTAATTTTTCCTAAATCGTGGTCAGATATGATCGGGATTTTTTTATAATATATATATGTGTCAGTTCCCCAGAAGTCTCAGATGGATCCTGTCTCTCTTGAAGAACTACGTGATATAACCCCTTTAGCTGCTGTAGGTCTGCTGCACAAGGTTGGTTGGGCTTTAAGGAATGAATCAGTAGATCTTCACTACCATCCGTTGCGACGGTCAATGTGCAGTGTCGATAATCACTTGCTTGTAATTGAACACGACCAAAACTATGCATCCTTTGTTGTCTCAGTACTCTTCCATAAAACAGGAGAAGGGGAGGCGCTTATTTTAAATTTTGGCCGATGGGAGAGACGCTTATTCGAAGGGGGCGCTTATTTGAGGGGAGGCGCTAATTCCAGAATTTACGGTATTTGTATCTATTATCGCAGGGGAATTAATTGAGTGAGTCATAAATAGAGGACGCAATAAAGTTGTCTTTAAAATTAATAAGAGTTGTGGTGTTTTGTGGGAACGTTACAGAGGAATCCTGTTCTTCACCGAGTAAGCAGTGGCGGATCCCGACCTTGATCTAAGGGGGGTGTGAAAGGGGGTGGGGGGGTGGAGGTCTTTGCTTGCCCTACCGGCTTTTCTTCCCTCTGCGATTATTTTTTTTACCGAAAGTAAGGGGGGGAAGGTCCCGGGCCTCTCCCCTAGATCCGCCACTGGTAAGGGTAACAGAATTATGTATCTTGGCGGGCGAAGATTGCTCTAGGACTAATAACGGATTTACACGTAACATGATTACGACTATTTTGTTGGTGGAAGTGAACTTGATTGTGCCCTTGATCCAAATACGGTCAGTGCATAGAAATATCACAGCCACCGATTGTCTTCTGTGTCGCGAGAAAGAGTAGGGAAAGGATGGTGGTTTTCTGAAGTGGCTTTCGAGCATGGATAAATAACCCCTCCCTGCTAAGAACATGTTACGGGAAACACGTTGTCATCGTCGTTGGTTTTTTAACTGGCTACTTCTCCATATTCTGCTAAGCTTAATTGTTAACAGCCCTTATACTTTCCCTATTCGTGCTTTTCATCAGATTATTTACACCGAGATGAACAAAAAGTCTTCTAAGTGTACTCTTTCCCCAAGCCTTAATGGATCCAGTTTTCCAGAGTTGTGGCTCAAAACTTTGGTTCTTATATTAATCTTTCGTCCAGTTTTCTTCCAAACTGATTCAGTTTGATACGTTTCTCCACTGCATGGCTCTACACATCTGCTGGACAAGAGCACTAAATCGTCAACGCCAGAGGTTTTATCTTTCTTTCTCGCGAGAAGCGGGAACCCGCTAAAGCATGATACGCGGCGAACGGTTTTTTCATCACCACAATCGGAAGTAAAAATGAACTCAAATATCACCATAAAACGTGTCAGAGATACAAGAATCGCATAACAATACAACTTAAAAAATAAGTTGACTCTAACAGGTGAGAATCAGACAAAATAAACGGTTCAGCGACGTTTAAAATTACTCAGAGGCAGGTTTGTAGTTTGCTATAGTTTATTAGTTCCCAGATAAACTTCGTCAAGACGCGGCTCAAGATAAACCAGGTTTTACCGTACCAGAATTGCAAGAGGCTAAATCACGCTTTAAACTAAGCTAAGCATCATTTAAATAATCAGCCCTTTATGTTCACCGACCAACTCGATACTAGGATAGGTCAATGTCAATATCTTTGGCATCCCAGGGTATACAAACTTCAACATTCTCAGGAGTGAAATTTTCTGGAAAAACTGCTGGCGCAATAGCGTCCTGTGATTGGAGAGAATATTGGGCGGCTAGAATCCCAGCCTTCACACAAATGTCCGGAGAGAAACCTTGAATTATAAAGGAAGCCATTGCTGCTGCAAAACTGAAAGAAAGAAAGCCAAGAAATTAGACGTCAGCACAGGTCTCAACTGTCCACCGATAAGGGCAATTTTGTTTACAATATTTGCCACATTAGCATAAGCGTAGGAATTTGAAAACGCAGTTTTATTTCTACGGTTAGGCCTATACCGTCCACACTAATCCGTCACGAAAACGAAAACGCTCTTTAAACCTGAGGTATTTGAAAACGCCGGCTTTGCGTTCTAGTGTTGACAGAAAACATTTCGAAAAAGGCGTTTTTCGAAAACCATGACACCACGATAACAATTTTGCGTTTTCAGATTCCTCGGGCATAGAGTGGACGGAAAACATTTGATGCGTTTTCAGCGAGAAACCTTCGTTTTCAAATTCCTTCGGCGTGCTGTGGATGGGGCGTCAGGTTCTGATCAAGCTACAAAAATGTCAGTTTTCAATATTGGAAGGGAATAGCGCCATTAACTCTGCCAATGAGTGTGGGCCTAAGCGCATTAGGGCTTTCACCACCCAAACATTTTGAAACTTTTGAAATCCAATTTTTTCTTGAACCGCCACACCTCAGTGTTTCTGCCACACGTCATTTGTATGCATGATACTCGACTCGGGCTGCGCCTTTGTAAACTATCACGAGATACAAAATATTGAGCTCATATTCTAATTGTTAATTAGGCATTTTAGTGTGTTGTATGGTGATCTTACCTATCGCCCGCACCCGTAACATTTCCCACTAGCATGTGACTGCCTGGCCCCAACGCGGGAAAGTGTCGTGCTGACACCAGACTGTGTTGGCGCGTTGGTAAATTACTTAAATGATGAGCCGTCGGAAACGGAGTGTCAGCGGCAGTATCTCTACAAATAAGGGCACCATGTTTTCCAAGAGTTACCACGACGCAATGAATATGCTTTAAAAGTGGCTTACAAAGATGTAAACACTCGGTTATAATGTCATCCAGTGGTCGATCTTTTTCTTTATCGTCTTTGTTGTTGTTTTGAGGAAGATGGCTGTGATTTTGTGATTCTTGCGTCACTATCGCGGAACTCATAGTTCGAAGCTCTTTCAGATTTGGCGACACGTAAGTTATGCTGTGCCAGGCATCAGAGCGGAAAGGTTTTTCTGATTTCATGATGCAAGTGGGCTCAAACCAAACTGAATAACAACACAAGCTTTATCACATACCTGATTTTACAAAATGACCACAAAGTTATCACATCAGGCAAATTAAAAAACGCATGTACATTTAGCTGTTAAATAAACAAATATATTTAACTCCATGATATATAACGATGCCGTTGGCAAGAGCGGAAACAGTTGCACTTCCTTTTGTTTCCGATTGGCTTAAAAGAGAAAACATGTTCTCTCGGATTGGTTGGCCAGAACTGGTCTAAACTACTGAATCAAAGCCCCGTTCTAACTTGTTTCTGGCAGCAATTGCTGGCTTTACTGATCGGGTTCAGGAAAATCTTGTAGCATGTTCTTATCAACAAGGCACAAAACAAAATATTCCTAATACTGATTGGTTGGGTTATCACAGACCTGGTGACTGCTATACAGTTGCCCAGGTAAAGCTGTCCCCGCCGCTCCCCTCTCGATTACTTTTGAGGGGATGGGTATAGGAATATACCAATATACTTAGTTTTCTCGTCGTACTGTCTAATTGGAAAATAAAATTAGAAAGTTATCCGATTTCATCCACAAATTTTGCCACAAGCTTGTCCCTTCGACCATGAAAACTTTTGTAAAAACCTTGAAGTTAAGCAAAGAATAGCATACTCTGTAAAGACATGAATGGTCATCACAGGAATGCTGCACGGTACCATTTTAAATCTTTCTCTGCAGTTCAAATATACGATCTTTCACATATTCACTTGCAATATCTAATGTCCAAGCTGTTTTAGAGTTGACCAGGAAACCACAATCGGAGATCTCTTTATCATGCTAAATTAGGTTTTCAACTTCAAAGAAAATTAATGAATAAATAATTAAATAAATACATAGATAATTGAAAGCAGGAGTGAAGGTTTGATTTAAGGCCATGGCATTGTTTTTCATTTGCAGAATGCAGAAATTAGGAAAGCGGAAGTTGATTAATGCATGGAAAGGGCGTAGACAGTACGAGCCACGTGTTGGTCGCCAGGTAGACTTACCTGGAATGTGATTGGCTGCACAGAAGTGACACGCATGATCAATAGCTTCTTCAGTGATGTTACCGTCCACCATTACCAGTGGCGCGTGTTTGATTGGTTCTTCAAAAGCTGAAATCTAACAAAATACATTCACAAGTCAAACGGTAGAACTCCCAGGCCTCAAAAGATAAAAGATAAAATGCAAACTTACAGACGCTTGCTGCATGGCGTAGTGCCATAAAAACACCACAAATGTTGTAAGTGTCGAATACACTTTTTACAATAACTGTTTAATTTCTCGCGCGCTGATTGGCTCATTTTTATCATCAATAAGAGTACAGACGGATAAAACTTTAATTTATGCAAGCTTTCAAGTTTAACTTTCAGCTGTCAAACTGTCATCTTCTTAACCAATGAGATTTTATGGACTTTTTTTAAGTAGCCAATCAAAAAGCGAGAAAAGCTATTGACAATGTTCGCGTCATTTTGAATAAAATACACTTATCTTTGTTTACGGCAAGTTTATGGCGTCTTCTCCCCTCATTTATTCCCGGCATTTGACCATTTTGGGGTCTTGTTATTGTAAAAAACAAATTGACATCAGTTTTTTATGCGTTTGTCCTCTTACTGATGATAAATTTCGTCATAACAGTGTCAAAGTTTACTGCGGAACCACTCGCCTGCGGCTCGTGGTTCCACAGCCACTTTGTCAATGTTATGACGCAATTTATCATCAATAAGAGGACAGACGCATAAAAAACTGACGTCAATTTGTTAAGTTTAAAACACCATTCTATTCAATATTTCCATACCCATTAATTTACTTGCTCTTTTCATTTATGGTTATTACTAATATCTATAAATTCTTTGTCTTTTTTATAACCGACACTAAAACGTCCGTGTTGACAAATATGACATACATTATCAGGTGTAATAACTTTGTGAATGTCCATGTCACCGACTGCCACGTGAAAGTCGCCATTTTGACTCAGTATAGCCGAGTAAGTTCCAGTGTGATTCACCTTGGAGGTATATATACCACGTGTAACCTGTCGACCATAAAAATACCTCATTATCTTGGCGGTAGCTTTTTTTAGTGATTTCAAAACGTGTGTGCACTCTAATTACAGCTGGGTATAAATTCTTCTTACCGGCCTCTATATACCTCTTATTATGGTAGTTGGGAGAATCTCGTTGTTTATAAGGAATTTTCGCTTTTTACTCTCCTGCCCTGTCTCAACTTGACCAGGTATTGATGGAATAAGGAGGAAGTGGATGCTGATGTGTGTTTGGTAAAAGAATACTCAAAATGGCTCTATCAAAAGCGCACAAAACTTTACCATGTTAACTTCTTCACAATGTTTAAGCATCATGACTCCTAGAGGATCACTTCCTACTGCAGATACAAACACTGGCTTCAAACCAAGACGAGCAAGGCATTCTATCAAAAGGAACAGAAAATTAGTTGAACCGACTCTACTGAACGAAGCTTTACTAGCTAACACAGAGTTCACTTTCAGAAAGCTTAAAAAATCACACTGACCAAAGCCGTCATACCTCAAATGAAACTTGATGTACAGGTACCTATGAGTTCCTAACGAAATTCATATAATGAAGAGACTGCAACGAGATCGGACATGGTGCTACCACACCAAGCAACTGTCAATGATCAAGACCTTTACAATGATATCATTTTCCGTTGCTTCGAGGTCACTTTTGCTTCGAAAGTTGACTTTTGTTAAGTATGTAATAGACGTTCATGCCGGGTGTATTTTTGTCAAGTCTATAATAGACGTTCATGCTGGGTGTATTTTTGTCTCGTAGAGAAAACTTACTGAAAACCACCCCAGAGAATCGCCAAACACCCGGAAAAGCTGGACACCACTTGAGCGCGTTAACTCATCTGGGAGTGTTCGAGTACAAAAAAGTATTGCTCCAAACAAAATGCCGGAGACAGTGAGTTATTTTGTTTTTTAATTACATTAAGCTATTCTGCAGCATTGTTGAATTTCAAAGAATGACGAGCTTATAAATCATTAGAAAGTCATAAGTCGTCAAGTGATCTCAGTTAAGGTTACACAATACCTTGAGAGTGCTACTTTTGTCGAATTTTTTCTTTTTAAACAAAACAAAAAGATCGCTACAAAATCGAACATTTCCCAGAAAATGAAAGCAAAATCTTAAAACGCGCGAGTTATTTTGAAAAAAAGGGTTTTAATAAAAGATAATAAAACAGTTTAGTTTAGTTTTCGTTGCCATTTTAAAGTGTCCGCGTCTTCCCCGACAAACCCGATTGTCCGCCGTGGTGTAAAGTGTAACTAGAATGTGACAAGAAACTGATGATTGCTGTGGTTTAAACCAGAAAAAAATTCAGTGGATATTAAAGCTAAAAGATATAACATCTCATTTGTAATTATTAAGCTAAGAAAGTTACTGATCTTTGTTGCAAGGATTAAAAAACAAAACAAAACAACAACAACAACAACAACAAAAATACGAAATGAATAAAACAAACTACCAGCAAGATTTCTTCCAACTCCACCAAAACTCATCCTCACCTGGCCAGGATTGGACGCTTCAGGCTGTTACATAAAACAAACCATCAATTTACATTAATAACTAAACTTTAGAAATATACCCATACTTAGCAAGTGTTAACCAATATATACACTCTTTCTCTAAAGTACGACTTCTCTGTCATGAGATTAGAGCTGTTGCTATCAGAAATTGTGTAATACATTGGGGGCGGTAACACAGGCACTTTTAGGATTTTTAGCGCGGTAAATGACCCATTAATCATAGGAAACTGCAGTTGGTGAGTGTCACCGACATTTCCCGAGGTAAATTTCCCGTGTTGAATACCCATGGATACGTCAAAAAGTTCATACGCAGCGCCCATGACATTTAACGTGGTAAGTTGGAATGGTGTACTGATGCCCAAGGCACAAGAGCCAGTCACGAAGCTCCGTTGACATCAACACGAAACCGGAAAGGAAAACGGGTTTTGGCTTTAGTTTTACCTTGGCAAATCAAAAAACCAGGGGATAATCTACCATGAGAAATGCCATTTACTGTGATGTGTGTAACCTCAACTGTTATTCAACCTTTTCTCCAAGCTGAAATAACAACTCCAAGAATGACTGCCCAATTTTCTGAATGTAAAATAATTATATCTTTTAAGTTCTGTTGCAAAGAATATTATCCTAGATTACATACCGAGGATAACTTACTATAATCTTCTCAGCTGTTGCAATAAAATCCACATTGGACCCACCAATTACAACCTAAGGACGGAAAAGTGAAATCAGAGTTTGACCGCCGCGTGTAACGATATAAGGACATCGGCATCCTTGCAACCATTAGTAAACATGCGATTTTCTTCGGGCTAGTAAGAACAGTCCGAGAATTAAGCACAAGTCCTTGCACAGTGCAAACCATGACTGTGGAATTGTATAGCTCAGCTTCAGAATTCAGACACTGGTGACCGAAAAGAGAAGTCTTTTGACTCAAGTTCACGACTTGTTACCGTAGAAATTATAACGATCCATTTTGCTAACTAAAATTTGTTATTTTTTTATCGTGCTTAAATACAATTTCATCCTGGGTTTAATATTAAGTTTCCTTTGTGTTTGGGTATGCTCGATAATTAGTATAAAACAAAGGAAAAGATGAAATTGAACAAGGGTTAATTAAATTGCACAACAATATATATCTAACCGAATTCGCAAAAACATGCCCGCATTGACTCAAAGACAGTCCCAGCGGCCAGAAGTC